CTCAACGATCTATGGCATTGGCCTATCCAATCTATCCCCCCTCAGGCTGTGGCTACATCCATGCCTACCTATCCCCCCTCAGGCTGTGGCTACATCCATGCCTACCTATCCCCCCAACTCTGCTCTTAAGGACACTGTTAAGTGGTCTCCTAATGGCAGTAGGAGATTCAATGCAAAGTCTGCCTGGGACCATATCAAAATTAGGGCTCCCATTGTTTGTTGGCATAAACTTGTCTGGTCAGTTCTTTCTATCCCTAAAATGTGTTTCATTATTTGGCTTGCTGTTAGAAACAGCCTCAGCACCCTTGACCGTATGCACTCTGTTGTGATCGTGTAGCAATTATGGTGAATGGTAAGGAATCAAACAATTAAAAAAGTAAGAGAAAATAACACATAAAGATTTACGTGGTTCGGCAATGTGCCTACATCCACGAGAGCGAGCGGCAGTTCTTTTTTTCATTCTTAAAAGTAAGGTTACATCTTAAGTATTTATATAACCTTAATACGGACGTATTTACAAAAATACCCTTGTACCGTACCGCGGGGGCAACTAATCAGCGTCCCCTTTATACAAATCCCGTAAGGCAGATGCCATCGCGGGCTCCGCTCCGGAATCTGTCTCCTTGCCATTATGCACATAGCAAATATGAGTCACACATACTCTAACAATCTCCACCTTGGCAAATATTCACCCCTAAGGAGAAAAAAGAGGACATGTATTCAGGAATTCCACTGGAGACGCTGAGTTGAGGCATCTCTCATCTAGCAACTAGAGACATTAATCAAGTCCAAGCAGTGCTTGAACTTGTCTGTAGTAACAGGCTTTGTCAACATGTCTGCTGCATTCTCAGAAGTGTGAACTTTCTCAAGTAATAGTTCACCAGAAGAAACCACACTACAAAAAATAGCAACTTTAGTGGCAAGAAAAGTCGTCACTAAAACTCTTAAATTTGTCACAAAAGTAGTTAGCGGTGAAAAAACAATTGCCACTAGATTGTCACTATAGATGTGTCACTAAAAGTTAATAGTGACAAGCTACATAAATTGTCACAAATGATCTAGATCTTTAGTGACGATTCTGTATCATCACTAAATCACTCTTAATAGCGACAAAATTTGTCGCCACTAATATTTTAAACTTTCATCACTAAAAAGTATATTTCCGTCACTTAAAAACTATTTTCAGCCCCAAAAAAAAAATTAGTGTCAAAATATATTAACACTAATTAGTATCCATCAATCATTAGTGACGGAATATTTTGTTGTCACTAATATGTTTAGTGACAATTTCAAACTTTCGTCCCTAATTATGATAAAATTTTATTGCCACTAAATTATCGGTGGTAGTGACAATGTTTTGATTGTCACTAACAATTTTTGCTTACTTTTAATGGCTAACTTTATAATCGTCACTAAAGACTTGTTCAATGACAATATTTTTTTATTGTCACTATAAAATTTCAAAGTACTTTTGTGATACATTTTGTAGCAGTCATTAAAAAACTCAACAGTGACGACTTTAGTGGTTGTCACTCACGTAATAATTCGTAACAGTTGTCATAAACCTTGTATAAAATTGACCTGTAATTAAAATATCCTAATATTTCAATATCATTCGAAACAAATCAAAATTCAATCATAGTTTAATTATAAAATAAAAAAACTTATGGAATTATCATAAAATTTTAAACAATCCAATGAATACTTCAAAAAAAAAAAATAGCAATAAAAAAAAGTTTTTCTGAAGCAACAAAATAAAAAATTAATAATAAACTGTTGGTCTTTATTCCTTCCATAACCATGAGAAGATCTAAAGCAAACTTCATGATGAATAAAAAATATACGCAGGGCTTTCAGATTAATCCTGGTCCTTTGAACACGATCTTCTATTCTCATAAAGATGTCGCAAAGATAACCACCCTGACAAAAATTAAACAACATAATATATGTCACAACTCTTTAATTTTAAATCACATAAAATAGTAAAAGCTTGGGCAAAAATGTCATCATAAAAATATTGGCTTGGTAATGTCTAAATCTTATTTTCAAACTTTTTTTCACTCTATGCAACACAAGAAACAAAACTTCAACACTTATCATCAAAGGTTTAGACTAAGTGGTAATCAACCAAATGGTCCTTCTAATTTTTGATAACAATGTATTGCAGTTTGCACTCTTACAAAATGTATTGTAGCACTTTTAGCATTATTAAGGGAGGTTTAACACCAAAGACTATAGATGATCATCATTAAAGAACACACAATTTCTACTATATGTCATGAGACTCATTACATCAACTACTTCTCATTGTCCACAAGCACAACAATACTTATATGATTAAAAGAAAAAAGAATAAATCACCAAAAAGTATGAATCATATGAAAAAAGACCATCATGCTTAGCAAACATAAATGTTTTGCTTCAAATGATTGCATCAAATAAATAAAAGATAATCTTGCAAATATGGTAATGGACTGAATATCTAATCAATAATAGTTAACTCAAACTTTAAGTCATAAAATTCAACTGTCATATTATTGCCTTATTATCAAATATTAACAACCATGGCAAACTAATTTAATGGATCTATGTTGTCATCGAGTGTATAGTCAATCACAATATCAATCTCTAATTAATATATAAAAACATCATAATATCAACGAGAATACTACACAATTTCTTCCATAAAGCCCCAAGCCATTTCATAATTGCAAGTAGAATAAAAAATTAAGAACCTGTTCATAAGTTCTAATACTTCAAATGGAATTATTGTACACCCTCAAATTTATCCTACAAAAGTAAAAATGAGAACACTTACCTAAATTGCAATCGCCCTGGTTGAGCTTCATACTGCTTCCATCTATCATGCAATAAAATAAAGTTTATGACACCTTCAAAAAAAGGAAAAAAAATCAAAACTAAACTTTCATTAATCAAGTATTCCACCTACCATGAAAGAGGGTCAAGCACAGGGGCAATGGCATGGGCAGACATGTGCCTCTCATCCTGCATCTGCTTCATCAATGGTTGCAAAATCTCATTTGTTGCATTTTGGGTTGCCCCTTGCATTTGCTCCATCAGTGCTTGTAAAATCTCATTTGTTGCCTTTTGGGTAGCCTTAATCACTTCCATGTCTTTTTGTTGAGCATTGAGTTTTTCTTCCAACTCATTGGCCTTTTTGTTAGCTGCCTCCAACTCTGATTTATCATGGTGCTTAGATAAGGATCGATTAGGCTTCGGACCATGCCCACGGCCACGTATGTACCCTGACTTGTGTCCAAGAACCTCTGAGCAAATTTCCTCCTCACAAACTGGTGCTTCATTCTCTCCTACAGGGTGCGACTGAAGCTCCACCATTTGCTCCTAAAGTGGCAAGGCATATAAATTTTAAATTACATTAGTTCAATTAATATGATGATAAACAAAAATTTTAACCGAATTAATAACTTACATAGTTATGATGTGCACGGTCATTCACCCAAGAATGTTTCTTATTACTATAATGAGTTATCCTATATAACTCAATTGGCCCAAGCACTTCACCAGTTTGAGCAGTCTACATCAATTCAAATATGTGAATTAGTTTTTGAAGCATATCACTACACATATGATACACTCTATAACTAAGATTTATGTTGCTACCATTTCAACACCCATCCGGGCAAAAGACTTTGTCCCAGTTACATGGGGTGTGTTTTGCATTGCCCGATTCCTTGCATTTTGAGCACTCCTTTTCTACATTAAAATAGTCAAACTTTCGTCCATTAGAAATTTTTTAAACGAATAAAGGGAAAATTGATTTTGTTTAGTATCTATAGTAAGTTTAAGAACCTTAAATTCGTCAGAGGAGAAGTAAGAACAAAGATAATTCCAATCTTCTTGTGGCACGCCTGGTGGTGGATGTTGCATTGCTACTTCTGTTGTTGGGTGTGGCAAGAAATAGTTCTTGTGTAGCTTATGGCGATGATTCCTATATTGCGTGTTCATTTGGGCAAATGTTATATCTTTAACCTGTCCATCATGGAGATTGAATGATTCCTACAAAAAATAGCGAATTGTTTACATTGTTAACAATGAATGCACTGTGAGAAATAAAGGTAACAACAATTGAATTACAAAATAAAAAATAAGTTTGTTTATTGGATGCAAAAAAAAAAAACATAAACCCCCTTTTATTAACTTTTGTTTCATAGTCTAGTTGAAATGTTTAAGTACTTGGAAAAGCACTTACCTTGGCCATTTGGAGTAAACTCTCCCGATCGGCTTTGTCAATCTTTGCCCATTTTGTCACTTGAAGAGGTGCATGCTTCCGAACAATGCATCCCAACTCTGTTATAAGTGGTTGGCATTCCAATCCTACTATTCGCCCAAGCTCTTCAGGCATCTCGACATTAAGCTTCTCGCCAGCTTGCTTTTTTTTGGCAAGCGCAATATTTCGGGTTGGTCCCCGTTTCCTCCTCGTTGAGGATGACTCTGAAGATAAAGTATGAACAATGTTGGTAGATGATTTTGTTAAGAACCTAATTTTTTGATAAAATTAAAACATAAAGAAAATTCAATAATCAATAAAAAAAAATTTAAAATGCAGCTTCTATAAGTCAATAGTTTGAACAATGTTTAACATAATTCCATTAAACAAACATACCAACATTATGTTCGACATGTCCCTCTGGCAAAGGAGCATTATTTACACTCGTGGAACCATGAGACTCTCGTGCAAGTGGCAATGTACCACCATTAGCACCAATCTGTGTCTGTTTATCATATGGTAATGAAACCGGAAGCAGTACTGATAGTTGTCCTCCACCACGCCTAGCAGCTCCTTGTTTCCCCAATCCGGCCATCTGTGTGCAATGAAGTAACAAAATAATACAACAAATGAATATCAATTGTGTAAATACAAATGGTTATGCACATCTATGTGTGTATATAAGAACTAAAAGTATTGCAACATTATAAACTTTCCCTAGTATAAGGTGAATTACACTGAAACCTTACCTTTAGTCAGATTCACATTCGTCATTACTAAATGTATCATCTTTGTGAATATCATCACTCCAATAATCTTCCTCGATATCACTTTCATTAATGAAGTTGTTATCTTCTTCATCTACATTTTCCATTGGTTGTTCATGAAATATATTATCTACATCAGTACATCCTAATGGGATCATATCATCTCTTTCTAATGATGGCATTTCATCAATTTCCATTGATTCAAAAACCTCATCAGGCACATGTTCTTGGTAAGGCTCCTCACCAGAAATCAATTGTTCTTCAAACTGTTCAGGAACATCAAAAGACCCGCGAGGTTGAATTCTCTCTACAACGCGCCAATTTTTCCCTAACTTCAAATCTTCAATATAAAAAACTTGTTTTGCTTGAGAGGCAAGCACAAATGGTTGGTCCTTATACCAAGTTCGTGATACATGTACACTAGTAATATTCCAATCCTTGTCTATTTGGATACCTGTACTGTCCTTTACATCCCACCAATCACACTTAAATAACATAACTCGATTCTGCCCAAGTAGATATTCTAACTCAATAACTTCAATGATCACGCCATAGAAGTTTATCACGCTCCCATCATGTTCTCCTTCCACGACCACACCACTATTTTGAGTTTTTTTTTTCCTCTCACGATCTTGAGTGTGGAACCTAAACCCATTTGCATTACAACCAGTGTAGCGTTTCACTCGATTATCAGGACCCTTGGCAAGGCACAAGAGTTCTTTGCTAGCACGCCCTTCATGGTACAATTTTTTAACCTATACATAAAAGTGAAAATTGTCCATAGAACCGTAGCCAAATAATCAAATACACATTGTTTTGATAATAGCAACAAAAATAGGTATATTTCAAAGTGCACTTACACGTTGTTCGAACCATTTAGGAAACTGCGAGTCATGCCTTTGATTAACATTCCTCAGCTTTTAGAATTTCTTTATGCTCACTATACATTAAGTATATATCATTATAACCCACAAATATCTAATACCAAGGCACAAATCTAATGAACAAACAATAAAATTTTAAGTACAAGTAATTAGAAAATTAAACTTACACTATAAAATCTTGAACCTCTTCACAATTATTCAACACGTAATTCCAAGCTTTTTCCCACTCAATATTATTCAACTCGGCATATATGGTCCCACCAAATGCATGACCATTATATGCAAATACAGACAACTCACTCGACTTTACACCTCCATCATAGTTCCGTTCAACTCGATTGAATCTCGTCTCAATATTACCCAAGTACATAGAGCAAAAATTCAAGCATTCATTGTCAATGTAACGCTTAGCAATTGACCCTTCTGGCCGAGCCTTATTAAGTACATATCCCTTTAGTTTCCTTATTTGCCTATCAATATATATAACAAAAGAATTAAGCTACAATTGAAAAAGAAAAACATGATTGATGCTTAGGTAATCACCTGATAAATAAATTATTAAATACCTTTCAAATGGAAACATCCATCGGTATTGGACTGGTCCAGCAAGCTTGGCTTCTTTAGCAAGGTGAACCATTAAGTGTACCATTATGTCAAAGAACGCTGGCGAAATAAACGTTCAAGTTTGCATAGTGTCAAAGCAATTTGCCTTTCAAGTTTCTCCAACACATCCAAGTACAACATCCTAGAACATAACTGTTTGAAAAAACCACCGAGCTCAACTAATGACTAACACACTTCCTTACCCAAGGATCCACGTATTGCCACTGAGAGTATCCGTTGAAGGAAAATGTGACAGTCGTGACTCTTCAATCCTGAAATACGACACTCTTTTATTTTCACACATCGAGAAATGTTTGCGGCAAAATCATCTGGAAACTTAATTGAAGTCAAGAATTCACATATTTTTCTCTTCTCATCATGGGACAACTGGTAACATGCAGACGGCATAAGAACTTTATCTCCTTCAAAACGAAGGTGTAATTCTGATCTTAGGCCCATTGCCATCAAATCCTTACGAGCCTTCCAATTGTCCTTAGTCTTTCCATCAATATTCATTAATGTGCCAAGCACATTATCACATACATTTTTCTCTATGTGCATGATATCCAAGTTATGTCATAGTTTCAGGGTTTCCCTATATGGCAATTTGAAGAAAATGCTCTTCTTTGTCCAATTCAATTCACTTTTTCGACGTTTCCTCTTCTTCTCTCGAATTAGTTCAGGGGCCTTACCGAAAACAACCTGATCAATAGCATCCAAATATTTCAATATGTCATCCCCAGATAATGGTTCAATTGGCTCCCTAAAGTCTTTCTCACCATCAAATGCTTTAGTCTCCTTTCGCCATCTATGATTAGTTGGTAAGAAACGACGATGTCCCACGTAACAACACTTCTTTCCATTTGGCAAATATTTGGAGGAAGTCTCACTCATGCAAACTGGACATGCCATATACCCTTTGGTGCTCCATCCGTACAAGTTAGCATAAGCGGGAATATCATTGATAGTCCATAGCAGTGCTGCACGCAAGCAAAATTTCTCTTAAGTGTAACCATCATATGTTTCAAAGCCATCTTCCCATAATTCAGTTAACTCATCAATTAATGGTTGCAGAAATATGTCAATGTCATTTCCTGGAGAATTTGGTCCTGGAATAATCATGGACATCATGAGAAAAGGATCCTTCATACATTTCCAATGAGGCAAATTGTATGGTACAAGAAATACTGGCCATATGCTGTAAGCATTACTCATGTTGCCAAAAGGATTGAAACCATCACTTGCTAGTCCAAGCCTAACATTGCGAGGATCATGGGCAAACAACTCATGCTTTTTATCAAAATTTTTCCATGCATCGGAATCAGCAGGATGTCTTAATACATTATCCTCATTGATACGTTTGTCTTTATGCCACCTCATATCACAAGCAATGTTCTTATTTATAAACAATCTCTGCAGTCTTGGCTTTAATGTGAAGTAACGCAATACCTTTTGAGGTATCTTCTTAGATCCTTCAAACTTCCATCTACAGCTCCCACATTTTGGACACTTATCCAAATCCTTATAATCCTTCCAAAAGATTGCACAATCATTAACGCAAGCATCTATCTTCACATAGTTAAGACCCAAGTCACGAATTACCTTTTTTGACTCATAATAAGACTTAGGAAATGTATCACAAATTGGAAAGGCATCTTTCAATATTTCAAGTAGCATGTCAAAGCACTTATTGCTCATGCGATACATCATTTTTAAATGAAGCAGCTTCACAAGAAAAGACAGCTTAGAAAACTTCTTACATCCTGGATAAAGTTCTTGCTCTGCATCATTCAACAATTTAAGAAATATATCTACTTCTCCTCCATCCACATGAACACCCTGTTGAATAGATTCTTCTCTAACCCCCCAATTGTCCCCAAAATGACCAGTGGCAATATCATC